AGTTTAGTGTCAACGTATTTTGTTTAGTCAAGCGTGTTTTAGTAAAGACAATCAGGTGAGGTACTTTATTTACGAGTACAATTTAAATACATAAAGATACCTCTATATTTTGAGATTACCCCTAGAATAACTAAGAAGCTGACGGTGCTCCACCTCATTGTGGAAATGAAGTATCCTGCCAATTAAATAAAATGTTTGAAGACAGGTGGATTAGACGATTAGGACCCTGGGATTAGCCACCAAGATCTCCAGATCTGTCACCACCAGATTTTTATATCTGGGGTGTAATAAAAGAGAAAGTGTACTCAACGCCAGTTTATTCCAAAGAACACCTAGTTTCCCGTATAAGAGAAGGCTTTGAAATTTCACCTTCTGCCCAAATATTCGGAGCTGTTATAGATGGGGTAACAAGAAGGTTGCATAACTGTTTACAAGTAGATGGCGGTCACTTCGAGCAAATAAATTAGATTTCTGAAAATAATAATTATTCTTATTATACAGGGTGTCCGCGTTTTTTGTAGCAGGGCTTTTCCAACTTGTACTAAAAGTCCTTTAAAAAAAGTTCATGTAAACATATATGTATAGATGCGTCGTTTTCGATTTACAGAGTGTTCAAGTTTAAAATGAGAATTGATTTTTTATTCGTAAAACGAAAACCTCTTTTTAGACTTTGTTGAAACTTGGCAACTTTGTTTGTAATAATAACAATACTCATTTTCTCTCATAATTTAATTTGTCCTATTTTCTCCAGTGGCGTCACAACAAGATACCAGCTTGATAAAAATAGAAAAAAATATGGTACGCCACTGCGTTTTGGTAAGTTTGAATTTTTTCTCAGATTTAGCTATCAAAAATACAACTTTTTTTGATATTTAATTTTTTCCTATCTCGTTTTGTTTAGTCAGAAATTTAAAAATTTCTATAAATAAACAGAAGATATTGCAAATTCTTATCTTATCGTCAATATAAACGTCTCAAAAAATATTTTAATCTGTCCATAGTTTCTTCGTTAGGTCATCTGACTTTCATTACAAAACTATGTACCTAAGTTAAAATATTCAAACTCGTAGTTTAGTTTACATTTAATAATTTCTTTAGACAAACTGAATTAATATGTTGTACCGTATATTACATGGCTATTAAAAAACATTGAGAGGAAAACTTTGGAATTGGAAATAGTTATTTTTCATATTAGATTGCGAAATATTGCATTCGAGAATATCATTCGAGAATGCAAAAGAATTTCGCAATCTAGTATCAAACGACATTTTCTTCTAAAACTATATCCTATAGTTACAAAATTACTAAAAATGTATAGAGAGCATATTTGACATGTGCAATTAATTTATTTGGCATGTTACGGCATCTACAATTTAGTTTCCGCAATTGTACAATTATGACTTTAAATTTAAACGTTAAAAGATTTGAAACTATTAAATTAATTGTTAGTTGAAGATTTCTCAAAAACTGATTGTGAGCTAATTCTGTCATCTATAATTTTATTGATTTTGTAGGGGCTTAATTTAATCCTGCGAGTAGAAAAGTACAGAGCAACTATTTAAGGGATTAAATTACTTCAGTCCCATCATATACAGGGTGACATGGAAGAAAGTGCAATGCATAGGACCACATGATAGAGGACCTGGAAACATATAAAAAGTTCATATACTTATGTCTAAATTTCTTTTGTTTTCGAGATACAGAGTGTTAAAGAAATTTTGGAAAATATTGATTTTTTTTTATTACTCCCAATTAAGTGGAGGGAATCTACTGACAATTGGTACATAATATTCTCTACAGGTTGCCAACCAATGGCGGAGGTAGAGGGTTCACTATGCTTAAATCAAATTAATAAATTAATAAATTAATACGGCCTTGTAAAAATTACTAATTTAACATTTTGCGATAGGTAATATAATTCCTATTAAAATTTCGTCTCAATTTTTCAACTCCACCACTGGTTGGCAAACTGTAAAGGATATTATGTACCAATTGTCAGAGTACTAAAAAAAATCAATATTTTCCAAAATTTTTTTAACATCCTGTATATCGAAAACAGAAGGAATTTAGTCATAAGTGTAGAGGAACTTTTTATATGTTTTGAGGTGCTCTATCATGTGGTGCTATGCATTGCACTTTTTTCTATGTCACCCTGTACCTATATGCTATTTTTTGCACTTTGTAGACTAAAAGTTAAAAAAATATAAAATTATTTCAAATATCTGTCGATTAAAAAAATATAGACTTTGGCAAAAAATGCATGTAAATAAACTATCTTAAATACAATATTCTTGCTTATACCTTAGTCAATTAAAATCTAATCTACTTCTGATATCCATATAGAAGAATAAAACCATTCGCTTATGACAAATTTGACGTGATTGATTAATGTAAAAAGAAATGTTACTCTGAAATTGAACCCCCACCTTAAATGGCCATATTGTCGTGATAGCCATAGATGTTGTTTTACCATAGAGACGAATAAATAAGTTATAAAGTCATTACTATGACAACCAAATATACCAAACTATCTGATACGTTTTTTTGAATATTCAATTTTTGGAGTTATAGCAAAAAATATATCTGAGGGAATGCTTATATTAGCTCTCTCCAAGGGCTAGATATTTTCAAAAAATGGCTGAAAAGTTGCACCTAGCAAATGCAGACTGACCCAACTGAAAGAGAACCACCTCTCTACACACACACACACACACACACACACACACACACACACACACACACACACACACACACACACACACACACACACACACACACACACACACACACACACACACACACACACACACACACACACACACANAATTGATCAGTTATTTACAAAAGTTACCCCCAAGCCGTATCACTTCTCTAACCCTCTCGTGGTAGTTCCAATATGGCGCCTGAATATACACATAAAAAACACGAAATATTGGATAGCATCACTCAAACGCTTTCAAAAAGTCTCTGGTGCGCTGACACTTTGATTAGGGTTTTGATCAAATCATTTTAATTTCTGAGTTCGTTGACTGAATCCACATACTGAAATAAATTTCAAAATATAGTATTTGCCGAATCGATTAAGGCTTACATAAGAATTATCCCGTCCTTTCAGTACTTTCGATATTTTTAAATTCAACAGGTTAAACAATATACAGGGTGTACCATTGAAAACATTGCACCCGGTTTATTTTGAACTACGTTTCAATATATTAAAATTGCCGAGACACGTCCATTTTGTTTTCGAGGGGGACACATTTTAGCGTTAAATACAGACTCGCCAGAACAACCCCCCTCGCGGGGGCACATTCAACTTTAGAATCTTAAATGGCACTCTAGGTCAAGTGACACCTCATTCGAAACTGTTTTTAACTCTGGTTGTCATCATGTAATTTTTTTCAACAAAACTGTCTTTTATTTCTAAGCATAAGTAAATTTTTTTTTTCAACAACAGATGAACTAAAATTGAAAAAAATTACATGATGTATGCTTTTTGTGTTTAATCGGGTTGTGGCCGTTATCATGGCTAAGACAAAGTCTGCATTACCTTTTCTTTAGTATTATATGTAGAACTTCTAAAAATGATTTGTTCTTTCTATATGGAACATACCTTTCATCATATTACAAGCTCGTTTGGAAAAAAACATAAAAATATGGTGGTCGCACTATTATAGCTTTTGAGGTTAGGTACGACTAATGACTAGTTGGGTTCAAACGAATGTAGGAATTCGATTCAGTGATCCCAAAAATATAAAGATATGTTGGTTACACTTCATTCCTAAACGTGGAAAAGTGTAATCTTAGCAATTTGCGCTACTTTTTTGAGGTTAGGCACGAACTCTGACTAGTTGAAGTTATATTGATATCAGAATTGGTTTCAGCGATCCCGAAAACATAAATTGTGGTGGTTAGAATGTGTCACTCATCGTAGAAACGCATTATTTCAACGATTTGAAGTATTTTTAAGGTTAGGGACGAACAGTGACCAGATGGGGTTTAATGAATATTGAATTCGAAATCAGCAACCCCAAAAACGTATATATATGGTGATTCAGTCTACAATACAGTATTTTTATGTTTCTTATCTATCAATATTGCTCATTAAACAGAATTTTCCATGATTGCGGCCGCCATATTGGAACCGCCATGATGTTTTTTTAAAATCACCAGACGGCATTCGATAGAGTTTTTAAATATGAAGCTTTTGACACGTCGAATGTCAATATTGATGCATTTTTATTATGGGCAGCCCACTGTGCCCGTTGACCTGAAACAATAACAATTTTAACCAAAAAATGTTGACTTGTTTCTGTTCATTTGTGTGGTCCCAGTTTGTTTTATTAATTAATATCAGTCTTTTTCAAAGTGAATGTTTCTCTACGACACTGCTGCTCATAAAATTTTGAGCAGTACATCAAACATTGGTCTGAAGGTGCTAACTACACATAGCAAATTTGAAATAGAAATGTTCAGGCATTTTGGAATTATTGCAGACAATGTTTAATTCTACAGAAACTTTGACGCCCTGTATCTCGTTAAGGAGGCATTTGCGACCCTATTAAGACGTTTCGTCTTAATTTTTCATGTATGACCTACCCTAGAAGTCTGTCAGCGGTTTTTTGAATCACCCTGTTTAAAATATTTCAAATATTTATTGTTACATCATTTCTTTAAGTTTTCAGTCCAATTAAATATTTCTTTAATTTTAGTAATCAAAAAAATTGTATAGGTAATTAAAAATGTCAGTTTTATACAGAAAATATAAATATCATATATATTACCTTTCTGTTGCAGCATATTGTATCTTCTGCCAATATTTTACTAAGTTCTTCAACATTGCATTTTATATATTCTGTAGAAGAGCCCTTAATTAGCCCTGTTAGAGCGACTAGATGACCATAATGTGGACTATCTTCAATTACAGGGAAAATCAATTTAAACCAAATATTAGAATTCACAAAATGACCTATAAATTTACAAGCTTGAATAATGTTAATTACCACTCTACGATCGTCATCTCTAGCTGCAGAATAAATGGCTGGTAATAAATCCTGTAAATTTTGTGTTATTCCATCTTCTGCATGTAAAATTAATATACACAATAACTGACTGCATCTAACTCTGACATCTTCCTGCCAACTTGTCAATTCTCTTGAAACAGCTCCTGATAATTTGCTTACATTTCTTTTTACCAAAAATCGACATCCTAAATTAGGGCGTTTTACTTCTTTTGGGTAATATTTAGGTTCTAGAGATAAGTAATCTGAAAGTTATATAAAACAAATATTGCAGTTGCAACTTTACTCAAAAAGGAAAAAATTGAATGGTACATGTTTACAATAATGTTTAAATCCAGGTACAGTAAAATCTCCCTTAACTCACTATAGTGCTATTTTTTTTAAAACCTGACATAGGCCAACTTTTTAATTTGAAGTGATAGACTAGTACTTCCAAATGCAGAGTTGTAGGAAATAACTTGATTAAGAAAAATTTACAAATAATTATTTCCGGTGTTGCCAGATTTCTGCAGTAGCTACTAAAACGATATTTTTTTAAATGGCAATACCGTATTTTTTTAAAAGAATACAAATTTCATCAGCATATTTCTCTTTACGGATGTAATAAAAATCATTTTAAACGTTTTTTTTTCTCGAAAACAGTTCAATTTATCGATATTAACCAAAAGTGCCTTTTTTAGTTTAAGGTTCAAGATATCTAAAAATATTATTTTTGTACTTTTATCACAAAGGGTGTAAAAAAATTTACATTACTGTGTTACAGCTAGTCCATCCCTGACAAACTAAATAAGCCAAATTGTTTTCATGGGTCAATTTTTAAGAAGTTTTATCTGTTGTCCATCACATTAAAAAACTAATTAAATTACACTAAGTATTTTAATGATTAAAAACAATTGATTTTCAGGGTCATTCTTTAGAGGCTCTCTGGGGGAAATTTTTATAATTGGACTTGTTATGTTATTTTAACGCCTCCTGTATAAATCCGAGAGATTGTCCACATATTCTGGGACAGCCTGTATAAAATATAAATAGGGTAAATAGGGCATAGGGTAAATAGTATATAAATATAAATACAAATCTTATCGATTTTACAAAATAATCAATGGAATCTGACCTTAACTGTGTATTTCAGTATCTCCACCATTTGATGTAATTCAATACATTTTTACATTTATTTAATTAAGTCACTCCCAAGAATTATTAATGTCGAATATCTTTCAAGATAGTTGCATATTTGTATTTCTTTTTTTTAATTTAACACACCCTGAACTTGCAAATGAAGCAACTATGGTCTAAGGCAGCGGTATTCAAACTGTGTTCCGCGGAACCCTGGGTCAAAAATTCAGAAATTTGAAACAATATCCGTACTACAAAATTAAACAAATTTATACTCTTTCGCTCAAAAACCAGTATTCATAAATATATTATATAAGTAAAACATGTGTTGGAAATTGTTTTTCTTGAATTTTTTTTAACAAAAAATCCAATTTACTTGGGGCTTTGCAGTGCAGTCGATGTGCTTTTTATATTTTTATTTATTTCTGAAGAATAAGTATGTAATCCGTCAAAAAATTGTATTTAAATAAGTTTTTAAAATGTTTATTTAGATATTTTTTACATTAATATCACCTACCTAATTGATTTTTCAAATCTTTTTCATTTTCTTCTTGGTACTGAATTCCAACTTTTTCCCATAGCACTGTAGAATCTATTCTGGTCTCTTCTACTTCATCATTTAAACCAGTTAATAGCAATGGTAATATTTTGTGAAAATATGAATATCGATCTCGATACTCCAAAAGCCATCTTGCAGCAATTCTGGCCACTGCTTGTCTTACAGCTGGTATCTGATCAAATAATTTTTCCGCTAAAGGCCCAATAACTTCATCGAGGCCTTTGTAGCTACTATGTAATATAATTTCGCCTATGGCATTAATTGATTCAAGGCGCACTTTATACCTCTGATGAACAAAACAGGATAAAACTGATTTTATTAGACTCTCAGCTTGCATATGGAAATCATTGGGCAATGATTTGGCTAATAATATTATAGTAACACAACTCAATTCCTTAATTGCTGGATATTTATCTTTAACAGTTTCTGCAAGAATTATAACACAATCGTTTAAAAATGGTTTTAATTTGATTGTATTTGAATATTTTGAAATTATTGCATTAAGAAGTTGCAGCAGTTGAAGTCTAACTTCCTCCGATTCTTCTATTAGTTCTACACTGCCAATCCGTTCTACCAGCACTGGAAATAAATATGTAAGGTAAAAATCATTTAAGGGTAACGCTTCTATAATGAAAAAGTTCAGAAATTGAATTGCTTCTTCTCGAACAATTTCAGTTTTGTCCCTCAATCCATTTAAAATATACATATGCGTCTCACAAAATACTGAACGCAATTCTTGATTATTCAAACTTTTTGTTGACAGGAACTTTTTTAAATCCGTGTAAGCATTTTTTCTGATTCGGCGGTCTTGACTTTGTATTTTTAAACAAATTTTTTTTGACATAGCCACATAGTCATCACATAATTCATTTTCGTCTGTGTCACAAGGCATATTTCGTATATTATATGATAAAAATAAAATGGTCAGTGCTCCCTTTATCTCAAAACCTTTAAAATTATGTCAATATCAACCATTTATAAACAAATGGCAGCCAACTTTATAAAATATACATATATATNATTGCCATTCATGTAGATCTACCCAAACATTTACAGTAAATCTGTACTGTGAATTATATAAGCGTTTGCAGATGGGTATTGCTGTGCCCATTTATAGTCGTTTCTTGAGTTATTTATTTACCCGTAATCAACTCGAAAAAGAAATGAGTGAATGTGGTATGAATAATACTGTTTCCTTTTCAATGTTTTCCATACATTCCATTGAGAAATATTAATAGTCGAACTTATGTTAGACTTTGCATTTTGTTGAATTGGATCTAAAATATTATTCTCTTTTTGAACATCTTGATGTAAATTAATTATAGTAGGCCTACTCAAAGTGACATATAATTAAGTAGTGAATTGTTTGACAACAAACTGTTTACTAGTGTTATTGTGTATTCATTAATTTGCTTTTAATACTTTAAATTTTGTAATTTAAACATGCTGCAATTATTTTCAAACGAAGAATATGCTGACATAGTATTCATCTATGGGTTTTACAATGGGAATAGTAGGGCAGCACAAAGGGAATATCAGCAATGTTTTCCTGATTGTCGGCATCCTAATTATAAAACTTTTAGTAAAGTCTTCCAGTACTCAAAACAACACGAGAGGTTTCCAACTTCAAAAAATGTGGAGCGTAGTTTACATCAAGATGCTCAAGAACAGAACAATATTTTAAATTTAATTCAACAAAATCCAAAAACTAGCACAAGAAGAATTAGTTCTGCCATTAATATTCCTCATTGAAACATATGGAGAACATTGAAAAGGGAACGTTATTATCCATACCACATCCAGCAGGTACAGCGTCTTGAACCAGGTGATAACATCCACCGGTTGCCTTTCTCGCGTTGGTTATCTAAACACCGTCCGGTCATTTACCGAACCTTATTTACAGACGAAGCGCAATTTACGATAGATGGAATAAATATCTCAAGGAACGACCATGAATGGGCACAACAAAACCCACATGCAAAACGCCAATGTCATTCACAACACAGGTTTTCTGTAAACGTTTGGATCGGGCTTGTAAATGGACATTTAATAGGGCCACCTATTTTTGAAGAGAGATTAGGTGGTAACGTTTATTTAAACTTTCTTCAAACAATCCTACCCAATCTCTTGGAAAATGTCCATATTAGAAGGTATGCTCTTTCAACACGATGGAGCTCCATCGCATTTTAGCACTTGGATTATGAATATCCAAACAGATAGATTGGTCGTGGCGGTCCATACGAATGGCTAGCGAGGTCTCTGGATTGTATCCTTGCGACTATTTCTTATAGGGTTACTTGAAAGCAGAAGTTTATAAGGTCGAAATCAATAATAGAGAACAATTGATCGATCGTACATTACAGCTTGCGATGAAATACGAAATAATCCAGTAATGATACATCAAGCAATTGAAAACTTGGGTAAACGAGTAAGAAAATGTATCGAAGTTGAGGGAGGCCACTTTGAAAATTTGCTATATAATTAATTTGCCATTGTAAAGTACATTTAGACACCTATTATTTTCTTTGTGTTTTACTGTTATTTGTTTTCCGTGTTTTATTAAATAGTCTTTGTTCCTACTTTATTTTTTTATTTCTATTTTTTAGAAATCCTATTTACGAAAAGAAATAAACTATTTTTACCATGTATCTTTTACTTACTCATGTCATGTGTTTCTTACTCGTAATTTCATTTTAAAAGCCTTGTTACTGTACATTGAATAGCGTATTTAAGTAATCATCAAAGTGTAACAAGAAAAAGAGACATGTCGCTGAGATTACTTTTTATGTTCTTTTCGATAATCGTATGGGAATACCAAAAAAATACATGAGGCGATGTTTTCTAGTTACAAAAAAATTAAAAATTTTGCAGTCCGGACCTGGAATACATATTATTTAAAGAAAATGAGGTTTAAAATATGCATGCTTATTTATAACCTCTACCCTGAATTAAAGCCTTCGCTAATTTTAGTTGCAAAACCATTTTTATCATGTGTCCTTTACGTAATTTAGTTTTAGAAGCCGTAGTCTCGTATATTCAATAGCTTATTTAAATAACTACGTATATACAACATATATATACAACGTATATGTAACAAAAAAAAAAGAAACACGTCTTTAAGATCACTTTTTTATGCTCTTTCCGAATTTCGTATCGGAATTTCAAAAAAAGACATACAGAGTGTTGTTTTCTAGACTTGCACAAAAAATTAACAATTTTTGCAGTCCGGACCTGGATTTTTTTTTGCTGTTATACATGCAAACATGAAGTATCGTGAGTGAATTAACCCTACCAAATATGAACCCATTATTCCATTCCCTACCAAAGTTATGACATAAAGCAGTTTTGACCAAAAACCATAAATCACCCTGTATCTCAATAAAGAATGGCCAAGGAGCTATTTCTATAGGTGATCCTAGTTACCCTAGATGTCCTCTATCTCCCATTAAGCTATGTCCCTCTCGTGATGCAACACCCTGTATATTTAAATTATTTATTAGGATAGCAATTTGTGCGCGTTACAAATTAATTCACCACAGGTACATAATTCATAGTATATGTATATATCAAAATGCTGACAACGAAATACTGTTTAAAATAAATGAACAAGAAATAATTATCGGATGCCAGTTTAACCCATATTTTTATAACTTTAGGTGATGCCACATTCTCCGCAACTTGAATGAAGTGTAATAAACTGATTACTATTATTGTTGCGCCATCTAACAATATACACCAAGCACTATGGTGTATAGGTTCATTAAAAAATCGACCAGTTAGGCACCCACTAAATTTTCATATTATAACATCAAGAGTCATCTAGTGACTAACTGGGAATTTTTATCTATGCTCCGCAAAGTGGCATCCGTATATTGGAGGCCGCTTTACCGCGGATGCTGGTCGTATTTAAAAACTCTATCGAATGCCGTCTGATGATTTTAAAAAAACATCATGGCGGTTCCAATATGGCGTCCGCAATCATGGAAAATTCTGTTTAATGAGCAATATTGATAGATAAGAAACATAAAAATACTGTATTGTAGACTGAATCACCATATCTATACGTTTTTGGGGTTGCTGATTTCGAATTCAATATTC